TTTTATAATTTTATTTATTTATTTTCCCCCCAAAGCCCCAGTAGATAGTTGTATGTCATAGCTGCACATCCTTCTAGTTGCTGTATGTGGGATGCGGCCTCAGCATGGCCGGAGAAGCGGTGCGTCGGTGCACGCCCGGGATCCGAACCTGGGCCGCCAGCAGCGGAGCGTGTGCACTTAACCGCTAAGCCTCAGGGCTGGCCCCGCCCTTTTAAATAAAGTGTACGATTCAGTGGTTTTTAGCACATTCGCAGAGTTGTGCAGCCATCGCGTCCGCATTTCACACTGCACTGCTTGACCAGTGGGCGTTCCTGCGCCTCAGTCCCGCAGGCTTCTTTGTGACCTAGTCTGCCACACTCGTGCTTCACTTCTGTAACTCAGCTTGGTGTTAGCTCCTCAAGACGTGCTCCCCGGTCTCCCTGCTCCTTCTCACCTCCCAAGAAGCTCTGGGCAGCCCTCCTGCTCTTTTCCATGGCCTCCTGTACTTGCCCCTATCCACAGCACAGAGCACGTGGTACTGCATTTGTGCCCCTCTCTCTCCTCTTGGACGCTGAGGACGCTTGGCACTGTATTTGATCAGTGGATTTCATCTGGAGCTACAGCTTTGAGTTTCACTTCCTAATGAGCCAAAGTGAAGAAACAGAGCAGCTCTTGGTCCGGGAAGACCCTGCCAATGAAGGGGACACAGCAGTTGCTCCTGAGTGGAGCTGACTCCTTCCCCAGTAGGAAGAGTTACACATTTTTTCTTGTCCATGCATGGTCATTTTCTCTGGATGACTCAGTGAAATTAAAACAAAACCTGATGAGACATCCATCCAGTGGAAGGAATTCAGTGTGAAATGTTGTGGCCGGCCAGCCAGGATGATTTTTGTGCTAAGGGAGGGAAAAAAAGCGACCGCCTTGTTCTGGGTGTGCCTCATAAAACGTGGCACATCAGTGCTGGCCCCCACCCCTACTCAGACACGCAAACGGCAGAAACACGTCTGCTGGAAAGGAACCAGCAGTATCGCTGGACTTCTGGAAGATGGTTGGCAGTATTTAGGAGTTTGTGGTCTTGAGAGTTTTGGGAAAATATTGGTGGAAAGAGCCAGGACTGTAGCATGTGACTTAGTGGCTGCGTGGCTCTGAGCCTCTGCTGCTGCTTCAGAGGTTGGTGGCCTCCCAGGGTGGCTCTAAGGACCCTGGGGTGACAGGAACAGCATCAGCCTGGCTCATTGCAAGGCCTCAGCAGGTGATGGTTAGAGTGCCTTGGTCTGCCTAAACGCACTGGCAGCCTCTCCCTTGTCTTGGAGTCTGGGGAAACCCTCTTGAACTTCAGGGTGTTGGTGGGATTTCACGATCAGAAATGCTTCCTGACTTGCCGTCGCCTGTGTTTGGCCTGGCTTGGTGATTCCTTGTCACATTTCACCACGCCTGTCCTTTGACTGCTCAGCTGGACATGTGATTTCCTGGGACTTTGCCCTTCGCCGTGTCACGTGGCTGACTGTCAAGCGATTTGCCCTCTTCAGCCATGAATGCTCCCAGATGAGTGGTGAAGAGCAGTTGTTTTCTGCATTTCACTACATTGCTCTGTCTGCAGCTCACTTCTCATTCAGGGGCATATGTCCTCTTGTCAAAGATTTCCCTACCAGAGTCTCACTTTGTATGCTCCATGGTAGCCCGTTCAGAGCTTTGAGGAAGGTTTAAAGCCTGAGTCTGGGCCTGAACCAGAGCATCTAGTGGTGAGGAACTGGACTGAGTTTTCCATTACCCTCTGCAGTTAGACCTCACTGTGCAGTTTTTAGGAGAGAGATTCACACTGACCTAATCATGCAAAAACCCCCTTTACCAAGTACTTCTCTCTGCCACCATCCAGTTGATGAGTCTTTCAGCTTAAATATTTTTGTCCCTGGGTTACTTGCCTGGCAACATGCTAGAGGTGACACTGGCTGAGTGGTTGAGGGCTCTGGCTCTGGGGTGGGATTGCACGGGTTTCATTGAATTCTGGCTCTGCCGCCTCCTAAGTGTGTGACCTTAGCCAAGTTACTTAACCTACCTATGCCTCAGTGTCTTCATCTGTAACTAATAATAATTTGGGATAACAATGATACCACTGCCTCATATAGAGTTGCCGTTATGATAAAACGAGAGTGCGTGTTACATGCTTAGAAGAGTGCTTCGTGCATAGTAAACATTTATAACAATGTATGTTGTCATTAGGGTCATAGCTTTTATAATACTAAAATAGAGGATGGAGATCCCCTGTCCTGCCCATGAAGTTACAGTGTCTTAGCAAAAAGATCATCTTATAAAATGATGTATTGTTTTCATGTATTTTTACCTGGTCTTTTTCCCAAAAAGATTTGAGGTAATTTATAAGAATGCAGTCAATGTAGTAATACTTGAACAACATCAACTGAGAAAGCAGGACCGAGGGCCATCTAGGAAGAGGATCACAGCTCTGTGTCCACGCTTGCCTTCCTCTCACAGGCACGGCTGTAGGCATGGCTGTAGACTTGGCTTCAGGAGTCGTCCGTGTGGAGCGTGAGGGGCAGGGCCAGCCCCACAGGTCCTAGCAGAGTGGTAGTCCACACCCCGAGGGTGTGAGAGCTTGAGTCTCCATCCTACTTGGGGGACCGCTGGTCACAGTGGTGCAGTGCCATCCCAGGTCATCGGTCTCTTGCTCGCTCTCACCCCCATCAACCCAGCCAGGCCCGTAGTCCCATATCCTGGAGGGGCACTGAAGAACATTTTGGGCTCTTTCCGCCACCTTTCTGTACTGCCACAATGGTGCGCGTGAGCGTCCTGGCTGATGCTCTCAAGAGCATCAACAATGCCGAAAAGAGAGGCAAACGCCAGGTTCTCATTAGGCCGTGTTCCAGAGGCATCGTCTGATTTCTAACTGTGGTGATGAAGCGTGGTTACTTTGGCGAATTTGAAATCATTGACCACAGAGCAGGCACGATTGTTGTGAACCTCATGGGCAGGTTAAACAAGTGTGGAGTGATCAGCCCCAGATTTGATATGCAATTGAGATATCTAGAAAAATGGCAGAATAACTTGCTCCCGTCCTGTCAGTTTGGTTCATTGTACTGACAACCTCAGCTGCCATCATGGACCATGAAGAAGCAAGATAAAAACACATAGGAGGGAAAACTCTGGGATTCTTTTTCTAGGGATGTAATACATACGTGCAAAAAAATGCTTCAAAAAAAAAAAAAAACATTTTGGGAGCTTGCTTCCCACTGAGACACACATGGGCTTCAAAAGATCAGGACTCAACCTGAGTAGCCCTGCTTTTCCACAATTCAGTGCTGAGGAAGCCCTGCCTGCATTTCGCTAGGCACAAGGCTGCAGACATCTCTTCCCTGCCCTGAAGGAGGACACCCCATCCCGGATCTGCGAGGCCAAGTCTTGTACAGTCCTGTAGCAGCATAGCCCAGGGCTCATAGATGGGGGGAACTGCCTCCACTAAGGAGGCGTTGGGAATGTCTGGAGGAGGTGGACCTTGCAGGATAACTGAAGTCATTAGATGGCATTGGGAGAAGGACCGAGGATCCTGGTGGGGAGAGTGGCCACGGTGTGGAGAGAGTGTCCAGGATGTTGGGGGCAGGGGCAGGGGCAGGGGCGAGGGGCTCTTGGAAGAGCAGTGAGACTGCGGTGGGAGGCTTGGGCTGAATCGGTGAGCCTCCCTGCTGCTGTCTAGGCCGAGGCAATTGTCTGCTCTCTGTGTGGCAGCCTCTGATACCAGCTTGGTGGCTATGTGCAGTTCTCAGTATTGAGTCCAAGATAACTTATATCCAGTGAGTTTTCCACCTCTGGCTTCTTGAAGGTGCTTGAGTATTGTGCGCCATCCCTCAGGGACCAGCCCTTAATTAAGAGGAGCAGGCGTCCCTCTGTGCCGGCACAGGTGATGGGCTGCGCTCCTGGCCAGTGAATGGTTAATTTAATTAGGCTCCAAGTGCCTGTTCATCCCCTTGGGGGAAGCGTAAGGTTACATGTGGACAACGGGAGCCTTGTGTGTGCAAGGTTGACTCACATATAGTGATTTTAATTTCTCCTTTCAATTTGTTTCTCTTTGTCCTGACCCTTCCTTTAGAAAACCATTCTGGCCTCTTATTCCAGGCTGAGAGCTTCCAGAAGGCAGAGCTTGAGTATGAATAGCTGAAACCAAGCCCAGGAAGTTTGCCTTTGTTTATTATTTATCTCTGGGGTGGTTTGGGGTACCTGCCTAAGAAAAGAGAGTGGGGGGCGCGGGGGTCCTTATTGTTTCTTGAGAAAGCTCTTTGTTGTTAATGGCATGTGAAACATTTGAAGTAGAATAAAACGTTTGTTGGTCAAAAATGGTTTCCAAATGTTGGCCGTGTTGGCCCGCCTCATCAGTGTGGGACCCTAAGTGACTGTAACCCCAGCCAACGGTCGTGTGCCTGCTGGGAGTGAGCGTTCAGTCTGCTGGTGGACTTCACGTACCGGCGTCGCGAATCGAAGGTGCACGGTTCACTCTCATTTTAATGTTTCTGAAATTGAGAAATTGCTTCTTACGCTTAACATGTACATTTAGCGGTGTTCTCATTAATAGTACATCTTACAATTTACAGTCTTCAAATGAAGAGTACAGTCTATACTTAAAGAATATTCTCAGAGTCGAGTGATAGCTGAATTAGAAGAGAGACTAGGTCTGAAATTGGAGGGTGGGCCGGCACTCCTGTGTGTGGTGTTGGGGTGGAGGGCCGAGAGGCCTCTGGTTCAGCAGGTGCCAGGCTCTGAGCGGGGTCTGTGCAGAGCCCCTGCCCGCAGTCGGGAGTGGCTGCAGTGCGTGTGGGAGGGCTGGGTGGGCGGAGCGGCAGGGGAGCCCCGCAGTGCAGCCCCTTCCTGGGCGCTGGCTCCCTGTGTCTGCTCTGGCCACTGCCTGGAAGGAGGCTTCGATCCACACAGACCCGTATTTCTCCCCGATTCACTTCCCTTCTCGCCCCCTTTCCTCTGGCCCAACTGGAGGGTGTGGGAGCTCCTCACCTTGTTGGCCTGGCAGGTCCCCTGCTTTGGAAGAGCTGGATCAGAATTCCGAATTTAGATTCCAGTTCCCCTGCACCTCCCGCTGGCTGTGTGAGCTGGACAGGCAGCTTCCCGCGCTTGGGTTTCCTCATCCACGCGGTGCGGAGGGTGCCGCCAGTCCTGCCTCAGATGACAGTTGACCAGGTCGTGGGGTCATGCAGGGCACCAGTTTCGGCTCGGAGCAGGTGCTTGATAACATTGGCTTGTGTGATTTTTATCCTGTGCTGACGTGTTTTGATGCCTCCCAGGATGAGCAAGGCTCCCTGGAGGTTCGTGGGGGCCCCTGGGCTCCTCTTCGGCTCATTCAGGTATGCTATTGCCGAGTCTCTTGGAACATCAGCTGCTTCCCATCCAAAATAAGCTTAACACTCTGAGTGGGACTTACAGGACAGGGTGAGGTTGCAGGCTTGAAGTGCTGTCTCCTAACAGTGGGGCAGCCACACTCAGAGAGGCATTAGGTAAAATTGCTCGAAAACTCCAAGATTGGTTCATGTGAAAACTATGCTTCCATGGCCCACAGTGTCTCTTATGACAAACTAAGGTCCTTGTAACAAAGCTGCTACCGGGGAACTTGGCAGAGGACTTGTGCTTCCTCCACACTGGGCGGTGATAAGGGGTGGGGGGCGTCTCTCATTTCCACTAGGCTGTGGAGGCTGCCCGCGCCCACGTAGATGGACGGGCTGGTCCTCAAGTGCATCCTTCTTTACACCTGGGAGCTAGGGATCCTCCAGCCTCCAAGCCCCTCATTGGGAGGCATGGATGAGGTGGGAGGGAGGCTATCCCTTGCATGTGCTCTTGTATCTTTTTGAATTTTGACCTGTGTGAATGTATTACCTATTATAAATAAATAAAAACACTTAGAGGGGCCCACAGGTACTGCCCCGCCTGCCCCGGTCCCACTCCAGCCACACTGGTGCCCCTCTCTTCCTTGCAGTCCCCTCGGGGGCCTTTGTGCCGGCTCTTCCCTCCCTTTCCAGTGCCACTCCTTTCCTTCCTTCATGTGTCATCTCCGTGTTACCTCCTAGACCACTGGATCCCCACAGTCCCACTGTTCTGTCTCCATCAGGTTTGCTTCACGAAGCCCTTGCCGCTTGGGATGGCTCCTGTGCCTTGACTGTTTCCGGTGGCTGGAGCGTGCTTCATGGGAGCAGGGCCACATATGTCCATCTTGTCTGCCACTGAATCCTCCTCAGATAGTGTGGGCATTCAGCATTTATTGAGGGAAATGAATTTCTCTTTGAGGACAGTGTTGTAGCTCCCAGTTCTGGGATTTAGGATGGTTACACTCAGCCAGGAAGTGGCAGACCAGGGATTTGAACTTGTGTTTGATTTCCAGGTTGGAGTTTTCCAGAATGCTGTACTGTAGCTTGTGTTTCTGACACTAGTGTGTGTGTCGCTAAAAACACTCTATTTTCTTTTTTATTTTTATTAGGGAAAAAAAGGGAAAGTGTGGGGCCTTGGAAAAAATAAAAGGAACAGATTGTAAGCAGAGACCTCTGCTGGCCACCGGGAGGGAGCTCCAGTGTCCTGATCCTTTGCTGTCTGTCGGAGAGTGGGGCTGTTCTAACTCGGGGGGTGGGGGGGCAGAGGGGGACGGCCAGGACTCTGCCCAGCCATGGTTTCACCAACATTACTCATCTGAGTGTGCGACCTGGTGAACAGGGCCTGTTTTCGATTCTTATCTCTCTAGTGGCAGGCTCTCAGCCAACGGGTAGATCAAAAGACGGAATGTGTTCATTTGGCCATTTAAAAAAAAAACTGAGGTACCAGGGTGCACTCCTTAAAGACAAAGGCGCCGTGGATTAGATTATCCGTGGAACTGAACTGGTCTGGCTTTTGTGCTTTTTTTAAGGGTTCATCTCAAGTTTCTTTTTCTGGTTGAAGAATTTTTTTCAACATTAATAACTAATGGAGAAGGGGAAGAGACAAAGTAGAACCATATGGCGGCACAAACACAAACCTCACTTGTGGCCGGAAGCTTCTGATTTGTATCTCTTTTCATGTGATCAGCTGTTGGGTTAGATAGTAGAAAAGTATTTGGTTTGGGGCAACAGCAAGAGTGGGTGTAATTTTTTTTCACCTTGCTATACTGTATCTCCTGTGTCCTTTCTCAGGCACTGGCTTGTAGCTCTGTGATTTCGGGCAATTTATTTCTCTAAGGCCCTGCTTTCCCCTTCTTTAAAATGGAGATGGTAACCGTACCTACATCTAGGGCTGTTGTGAGGATTAAAGGAGGTGATGCCGGTAGAGTTTCTATAGTACAGTGCCTGGCGCACACTACCAGGCGTTGGCAGTTACGTCCTCCTCCTCGTTACCCTCATTATTATTAAGGTGTCACCTGAGGCAGTTGTTCGTGGCATCCTAGCCTTTCCTTTACTTTCTGGGTTTTTTTTTTTTTTTCTTCCTGCCGGAGTTTGCTTTATTTCCTTTCACCCTGTCTTTTCACTGGCCTCCTGGGCACTGCTGAGCTAGGTGCGGGTATCAGTGGTGACGGGCATGGTGGTTCCTGCTGCCTGGGTTCTGGGACTAAGGAATTTGTGGCAGTGGAGAAATTGGTGGAGCCCTGAACCTCACCACTGGAACTATGACGGGAACACTGTCCTGGCCAGTGCAGCGTTGTTTATTATTCCAAGTCGCTTGGAATTAAGTTTAAATCCCCCCAACAGCCTGGACTGAGCTGACACCTTTGGTGTTATCTGAACATTCCTTACAGAGGCTCTTAAGCAGCTGAGATGGGCATTTTGGACAGAAGGCATCCGGCCCTCTAGTGTTGGCACCAACCACGTGTTCTTACCAGGGGCCCTCCTTGGCTTTGGAGGCAGCAGAGCAGATGACACACACACCCCAAAGTGAACTCTTGGCTTTGTTTGGACCTGTCCTTTCATTCATTCATTCATTCATTCATTCATTCATTTATTTGTGAGGAGATCAGCCCTGTGCTAACATCTGCCAATTTATTTATTTTTTGCTGAGGAAGACTCGCCTTGGGCTAACATCTGTGCCCATCTTCCTCCACTTTATATGGGACACCGCCACAGCATGGCTTGCCAAGCGGTGCGTCGGTGCGTGCCTGGGATCCGAACCGGTGAACCCCGGGCCGCAGCAGCAGAGCGCATGCACTTAACCGCTTGTGCCACCGGGTTGGCCCCTGTTCTTTCATTTAAATTGCTCTGCAAACTCATGATCCGTGAGACTTAATGTGATTTCTTCCACTATTCTAAGCATTTGACATGACTAAGAGGTGGGGGTGGGAGTAGAGTTGGAGTTGAGTGTAGGGAGGGAGTCCTTAACTAATTGACTAGATTACTGAGATAAACTGCCTTTATTCTGGGTCTATAATATGACACAGAAGTCAACAAACGTACGGGAGCACCCACCACAGTGTGCGTGTCCCTGGGCTGGGTCTGGGGACTGGGCCCTGCCTCTGCAGATGCAGAGTCAACACTCGAGGAAGAATGTTCAGTAGCAAGGAAGGAATAAAATGATAGCTGATGGCAATATTAGAACAACTATCTCCGAAGCATTTGGGATTCAGTTGACATCAGTGTTACTGCAGGAATACCAAAGAATTTGGCATCTTGATAAAGAAGTCAGAATTTGGGCTGGGCCCTGAAGAATGGCAGGATTTAAGAGAGGAATGGGGATAGGTTGCTAGGTTAGCAAATAAAAGTATGTGTCCCGTGTATTTGAGATTTATCGTCTATCTGAAATTAAAATTCAACTGGCCCATCCTATGTTTTATCCGTAAATGGGTAAGTTTTTAAGTGAAAGAATGAATGTGCAAACTTGCATGTTCAGGGAGCAGTGAATAGGACAGCGTGGTTGTTTGAGAGGGTTCAGGAGGACGTAGAGGGGTGGGATGGGATGGGAGTAAGACGGACTGGTAGGTGGTGCCAGATCATGACTAATGCACCCTTGAGCAGCTAGCTGCTCTGGTACAGATCTCTGGGCATGCCATGTAGGGCACACTGCTCGTTCTCCACAACGACAATTAGATTATACTTTCAGGGCATTTTATCTTTGATGAAAGAAACAGGATGATAGAAGGAAATAGAATACAAAAATATGGCCCAACTTGAGAGTTTATCCAAAAGGCGAAAATTGTACCTACTTGGGTGAAGTTGGCCATATCACATCCCAGGTGCTTTTCATGGTAGGACAAACCATACGCCATTCGTGAGTTCTGTGTTTTTCTGTGCACTGCCATAATTTTTTGAGTGACGGTTTAGATGTGTGTTGTTCTGAGGTTGGTCAGTCCCTGGCCAAGGACTTTGAAAAGCTCAGGCACAGATCTTTAAGGGTGACTGGGTCTAGGAGCTCAGATAATATCACCGTAGCTCTGCATTGCCCAGAGGCTCAGGCAGGTGCTCTCCTGATGCCTGCTGCAGCCCAGGAGCCTCCCGCATCCCAGCTTCCCTGGCAGAGAGAAGATGAGCCATCCATCTCGCCATAACCCCTAGAGAAAATTAAGAGAGGTCTCCATACCTGAATAGGCCAGGGGCTGAGGCCCTCTGACTGCCCATGGGCGGTGGTGGAGTAGAGGTCAGCCTTGCCCAATACATGGGATGAAGAGCTTGGTGACCAAGAATAGGAAACGTAGGCTGGGCAGGCGATAAGAGTGGCTATTGTTGATGGCCGGTGCCACAGGCCAACCCCTTGCACTGTTGCCTGAGTCAGCTTTGGGCTTTGAAGGATGCGAGTCACAAAGTGGAGAAGTGGAGTCACTTCCAGTCCTTTACCTTGAAAGGACCCTGATCTACTTCGATGGGCGGGGAGGGCTGGATCCCATTTTCTAGACCAGTGGCTGCCGTGTTTTTTGATTCCACAGGTCAGAAACATAAAAAAGAAAAAAAAAAAAAAAGAGGAGGAGGAATAGGTCATTGGGTTGCCAACCTTTAAAACAAAAACAAAATAAACATATCATTTCATAAAATTAAGGACATCTTAACTCCTCCCCCAAAAGGCATCCTCCAAATAAAGGA